TATCCTGTAGAGGAAGATTGTTCTTCAGGGGATCTGGAAAAAAAGGTAAATGATGTCTACTGTGAGTTCATTCTACACACTTTTATTAGTGTCTCATAAAAAGTTATAAAAATCATGAATATACAGACATCTTATGGTTTTGGTCTTTGAATAGTTGCCTTCTTGATTGCTGGAATGTGATGAATATACTTGTTGATCTTCCTGTGGCTTCCCCTGTCTCTTCATTTAGGTTTTTTGTGCAAACATTCTCTCTCTCCTCTGAGAAGCTTTCCACAAGTAGCATCCTTCCACATTCCCCCAACCTGGTCACTCTGATCCCTTACCCTGCTTTATTGTCCCTTTAAAGAATTTGGAACTACCCCAAATGATGTATTTGTCTCTTCATCTATTTTCTGTCTCTTTCTGATCAAGGAGAGCAGAGACTTCTTGTTCACTGCTAATCCCCACTGTCTGGACTGGTCCACATCGCAGGTGCCCAGTAAATATTTGAGAGAATAAAAGAATGAGTTCATTCATAAATAGGACTTGTTTCTGTGAGATTGTTGCTTATTAAAATGTCTTATAATGATAGTGTTTAGAAGAGAGATCTCCATGTCTAACTGCAGTATACATATTTTAGTTCAAGTGAACTAAAGTTTATGTCTGTAATGGTAGCATCTTTTAGGAAAGAATTCCCTTCTCTTTCCAATGCTTCTTTAGAATTCTGTTTGCCCATTATGAATTAAGTAATTACAATACTCTTTATAGGTAGCTCTTTGTCATTATTTCTCAGATCTTTTTTTCCTGGCTGAGCTCTAAACCAGCATCAGTCCCATATTCTCCTTGCCTAGTGAACATTTCCACCTGGTTGCCATACTGTTGCCCAGCCATTGCTTTCAACCAAGCTACCTAAAATTGAATCTACCACATTACTCAAAACAAAAAGATGCTTCTTTATTTATCTATTTTTGGCTTTAGGGCTACCGTACATGTTCTTGAATCCTTGCCTGTGTTCCTTCTATGCCGTCTGTGTGCCATATCTTACTTTAAGTGCACTGTATATTCAGTTGTGGCCCATGTGGTCAGTATAATAATATAATAATAATGCTAAAATGTTAGAGGTAGAGAGCCACATGAATTTTTTTTAATGAATAATAATGGTGAAGTTTAGCCTGTTAACTCTACCGATACAGTAATAGGTTAATGCAAGTCACTTGTTTTGGTAAAACCAGTGAAAATATAGAATGTCTGACACGTTCTCTAGATCTAAGAGTTTTGTTTTAATGATACATCTGAATTCCAACTCTTGGGTATGTTATTTCAGCAGTTTTCAGCCATTTAATGCATTGTCTCTTGAGTTTTTACACTTCACAAAGTTTGGAGTAAGGAAGTTTCGTTGTAGTTACAGAATTCATACCACTCATCTACAGAATCATAAGAATAAAGTTTTGTATTAGTGGGTGCGACTGCACACCAGGCATTCTTGACACTAAACCATTTGATAAAGTGATTGTTTAATAATTTAAAATCCTGAAAATTATACTTGAAAGATAATTAAAGCACCTTCAAGCATGATACATGTTTATCAAAACTCTGCCAGTATATTGACTTGTTTATCACTTTGTCAAAGTACCTAATTTCTTTGAAGCTGGGGCATTCCCCACAGGAAGTGAGTGTGGACATACACTACCATCTCATCTGCAGGTCCAGTCTGTAAGAATACTTGTAGCACTTTTGGGTACAGTTCCCATTTTTTGCTCCATTTCTGGCACATGAAATCTCTGTCAGTTATTGGACATGGGGCTTTGGGCTGTGTTGCTCTGGTGGAGCTGAAATCGCAGCCTGCTTTCGCACTCTGTGCTCAGGCCTCAGCTGTGAGCCGGGCCTGGGGGCTCCCTGAGCAGGAAGCAGCAGTAGTCAGCGGGTGGTATGCTGAATGCTGAGAGAGACTCTGAGGATCCTTTCAAGAGGTTTGGGAAGACAAAACTATTTTCACATTAATGGTAAGGTTTATTTTCTTTTTTTTCTGTTTTGGCATTTGTACTGATGGTGCAGAAATAATGGAAGGTAAAACCGTTGGTGCCTTAAGCAGGAATTACGTCCACGGCACCCAGCTGTGCTAGTAATCACTATTCTTTGCTGCCATTCACTTGCAGTTAAAAAAAGCCAGTTTCTTTTAATATCCCCGATGAAGCAGTAAATGTTACCAATTGTATTCAATCTTGACCTGTTGTGTTACCTTTATGTTATGAAATTGGGACATTCACTAAAAACATTTCTACATACTGAAGACTAGTGGTCTTGAAGAAAACCAGTTCTTACAGTTAAGAGGGGAGATGAATTAGCTGGATTTTTCTCTCACAGAGCATCAATTTTCTCAAAGGAATGGCTAATACTATGGGTATTGAAACTTGAGTATTTGGAAAACATTTTCTCAAAAGCAGATGAAGTGAACTTGTCACTTCAAGGAAAACAGTTGGGAGTGTCTGTTGCCAGTGATAAAATTAAAGGTTTTAAGTAGAAGATCTGAATTTTTGAAAATTCTGTATCAACCATTGTGAGCTTGATGGTGTCTGATGAGACTGATACTGACTTTAATGAATGTGAGTTTCAGAAGTGTGCAATGGAATTGAGATGGATCATGGGTGTAGTCAGAGTAGGATGAGGGCCTTTGGAAAAATACCCCTATGAAAACTATTGAACAATTAAACAAAGTCAGAGTCACATTACTTCTCTAAAGTAAAATATCAAACTAAGAATATAAGCATTCTCCAATGCAGATTAGTTAAAACTAAAAGCCTGGAGTAACTTGGCCTGGAATGTTCAAACATCCTCCAGATAAGAAAATACCTCAGCATAGCCCATGTCTTGTTTGTGTCAATTAAATGAGTCTATTGTAAAATTTACTTTAGCTGCTAAAAGGCCCAGCTTATCTTTATATTTACGCAGATGCTGCTTTTCCTCCTTCAGCCCCTAATCAAGTAATATATAACCNTTTTAAGAAGTAAGATTCTTAACTTACTATTTAGCAAACAGACAATAACTCAGCCCACCTTGGGAGCAGGACAGGCAGCCTTGATTGATATGATCCCAAACCAAGAAGCTGCTATTCTGGGAAAGAATCAGAGCAGTAAATTTCTTGTGTTAACTCTGTAAAATAATCCAGAAAACTGATAAGAAACTTAGTGTCTCTTCAGGGATAAACATTTAGAGACCATTTGGTGGGTTTGCATCCCTAGCCCTTTGTCTCTCAACTACCTATAAATCCCCTAGACAACGCACCACTATGGGCTCTCTTGTCCCCTCCGATGTGAGCCAGGAGCCATGTCCTCTCACTGTATCTCTCAGTAAAAGCCTTTCCCTGGCTTTCCTACAGTGACTGTTTGCTAAGTTCATTCTTAGACTCCGCAAACAAGAACCCCGGCATCAGAATGTGGCAGCATTCGGGAAAGCCAATATTTTCCAGATAACTACTGCATGGTGTCACAGAATCAGGCATGGCGAAGATCTGTCCAAAGATCAACATATTTTAATGTGACTGATACAGTTTCAGATTCCACACTGCAACAGATCTTTAAGAAAAAAACATTTGTCAAGTTCTGATGTAATAGCAAAGAATAATATCTACATTTTTCAGGAAAAACTTTTATAGTTCTCCTTTTCCAATCATATATCTCTTTGAGATCCAAATTTTCTTCACATATCAACTAAGATAACATACTGCAACAGATTCAGTGCAAAAGTAGGTATAAGAATTTACCTGTTTTCACTTAAGCCAGAAATCAAAAGAATTTGTAGACATATAAAATATTGACACTTTGTTATTAATTTTTTTGTTGTTTTGAAAAATGCAATTTTTATGTTAGCATGTAATGGAATTGTTATTTTTAAATGAGTTACTAATTATTTTTAAAATGTCTCCATTTCAATTTCTAATATGGCGAACATCAATACATACAACCAGTAGTGTGTTAGAGCTGATTGTATGTATCTTTTCCCATTTTGTGTTCTGTGTCATCTGTTGGTAGCTTGAAATCTGCCATTTTACATTAGAAATCAATAAAAGTTACAAATTGAGGTTTTCCCTTCCCAAAGCTAGTTGTTAAATATTTAGTATTTAAACCTACTGAATTTAAGTCACATAAACAAAAGCTTTTTGAGATTATCAATAATTTTTATTGATTAAAATCAGTAAAATTTCTTATCAAACTTTTTTTAGTTTGATAGAAACCTTGAGGATTAGTTGTGGGGTGAAAGGAGTACCTTTTGGTAATTGATCCACCCAGAGGTGGGTGCCTTTTATAATTCATACATAATCCCATACCTTATGTGCTGGGAACATTTTTAGGATACAATGTTATTTTTTTAATTTACTAATTCTATTATGGGATAACCTTTTTCTTTCCCCTAAAATCTGAAGCAGACAATAACACTCCAGGGGTAGGGGTGTGAGTGACTTTGCCTCTTGGGCCACATGTTGGGTGACTCTGCCCTAGTTTCTCACTTTTCTTTCCAGCTGTTATCGAGACTCCCATCAAGGCCTGTCTCCAAGTGCGGCTTCTACACAAAGCCTTCAGTGATTGTTCGTTCAGGCCTATACCCATCTTTCTAGCCCATGGTCTTACTCCTGTGGCTTTCACGGCCTGTACACTGGAGCAATTAGTCCTATACTGTTGGGTGTACTGTTGTTTGTTAGTGTTAGTTTTCTCAATTCTGCTTTCTACCCTAATGCACCTAATAATAATGCTCACCACAGAAGTTCTCTTGCATAGATAAAAAGATTTTTTATTTTTGGATTGCCAAAGGAGTTTGCTTTTTAAGGGAATGGTGTTGTAAATAAGTCTTATAATTATTTGTTATAGAATCAGTTTTTAACAATTCTTTTAAAGTATAAATAGATTGGAAATCATTGGTATTCCTTAAAGTGAAGTCCCACACGGAGGCTTCCTTCTAAATTTGTTTTAGATCCTGTGGTTCTGTTACCATTCATGATAGAAACTGGTAGCTTATTTCATTTCTAAAGTCTTTGACTGTTTAGAGTAAGTCATAATGAATAGTGAAACTTAGTGAAATGAAGCAAAGTTTCTAAGATTACACTGGTCTATAGGATTGAGTTGTTCACTACTTAGGAAGCATGGCAGGTTTTGAGGGCAGGGAGATTGGAGGTACTGTGTTGTGCTGGTAGGGATCTCTGTTAAAAGCATCAAGGTTAAAAAAAAATTAGATTTAATACTTTTTAATAAAACTGGCCTGCACACTATGAAAAAAAAATGCATCAAGGTAGCTGGGAGATGGCAATGCTCTCTACTCTGTAAGCTAAGTGATGGTCTGGCCCTCTTGGGGGGATGCTCAAGCAAGGAGAGAGGAAAAGTGGGGACTGCCTTGCCAGCTTCAAGGCCTGAGCTTTCTCTGGGTCAGAGACCCTAAAGGCTTATGAGAAACCCTGGAATATTTTTGGCTTGTGTCATTTTTGTGATTATGGGGTCATAAATCACTGATTTTCAGTATACTGACAAGGCATTAGCTTGTACCTGGAGTAATATTAGAATATCATACATCTAATGTTTCATTTCTTAAAAAATAATTCAACATAGTTAAGTTCTGTCTCCAATTTCTCTTAAGAAGTTGGAGAGGGTAGTTCATACTGTGTCCCAAGTAAGGATTCACTGTTAGTAAGTGTGAGGTTGTAGTGAGGTAGTTTAACTGCTTTAGAGCTTTATGCTTGCAACATTCTTAGTTACCAAGCATGGGAACCAGAAGTGAGGAGCATGATTCTTTAATATCTGTCACGTCAGAGAGTGACTGTTCGAGGACAGTAGCCACCTCCTAATGGTAAGTACCCTCGCTTGCATGTCATTTCTGAGAAGCAGGGAAAATAGGCTAGTCATAATAGTGAATGGTATTTGTTTTAAGAAAAAAAAATTCTTAATCCTCAACATTGATCATTTTTGTAGGTTTCTATACCTGGATCAGGCACTGGAAGAGGCTCCCCAGCTGTAACTCTAGTACAGTTACCTTCAGGCCAAACTGTACATATCCAGGGAGTAATTCAGACACCACAGCCATCGGTTATTCAGTCACCACAAATACAAACTGTTCAGGTTAGCATCCTTCCTGGGTGATTTGTCTTCGACTTCTTAAGCTTTTTTCTTTTTCTTTTACTGATTCATTTAGCATCTTTTTCTTTGTGCAGATTTTATGCTCAAATCTTATTAGATAGTTGGAGAAATTTCCTTTTATATGTGAAGTGCATTGTGCCCTGCAAGATACAAAGAGGTGACTTGAGGGGTACAGTTTTGTTGTCAACTCTTAATTTTAGGATGAGTACTTGCCAGATGAGTAATTCTTAAAGTTGTTTTCTCTGTGCTCAGATTCAGTTTTCCTTAGCAAAGCTCTCCAATGGTGCTTAAAAATATTTTGAGGATTCTTTGGAGAAGATGTCTGACAAATACAGTACTATAAAGATTATAGTACTAATGCTATTTTCATGAATACTCACATTAGTAGGTAGGTAGAAATTTAGGTTTATTTTTAATTCAATATGTGTAATCCATAGAAAATAATATGGTGTTATTGTCACCTTGGTGTTATGCTTATACATCATGAACTGCTCTCAGGTGAATCCTGGGTTTTTGTGGGCATGATTGTTATTGTGCTGGTCATCCAGAGATGTGTTTTAGTATTATAAAGATTAGTCATAAATCCTTAACATTAAAGTTAAAACTTTTTTTTTGTATCAATAGCTGTAAATTATTAAGTGTGCATTGGTTAAAGCATACTTTTATTGTTTACTGAATGTATCCCTTTTTTAGGTTGGTTTGTTTCATTATCCTTTAAATGTTGAACTTGAACATAATTGATGACAAAAGATCTGTGAGAAAAACATTAGGTACACATACTTAATCAGTCTTGTCCTTTTCCTGCATTTTGGAGTATAGTTATTGCAGAATAAGGATAAGGGTTGCTATATGATATTTGAACTTATCACATGCATTAAAAGCTGGTTATCTTTGCGACACAGGTGTATTTTCCTGTGTTGCTCAAAAAAGTAAGAATAATTCTCAGTGTTGTCTTTTTTTCTGTGATGACCTTTGATTCCAAGAGTTTCTTACTCTTTCTGATGCTAATTTTAAAACGAGAAAGGCTTTCCACTCTCCTCTTTGCATTCTGACTTTTATTTGGATGCAGATATTCTTACTCAGTTTTGACTTGACTGATATTGGAAGAAAGTATTGTCTTTATATTCAGTAGGCTTTTTTGGATTTTGTTAAATGGATAATTTAATTATCTTTGTAGAGAGAGGTGCAAATTCTAGTCTTAGAAAATCCTCCCTGCTGAAGGATGGGCAAGTCACTTAATCTCTCTGCAGGAACTTCAATTTCCACCTTTCTAAAATGGGTAAAATCATAGCCTACCTTAATAAAGGGCTTGTAAGATTACGTAAGAGAAATGGAAAAGCCCAGTGTAAAGTGATAGATACTTGATGGTGATAATCTGTTTGCATCAATGTTTTTTCTAAGTCCTGTTCATTGGTGAGTGTGCTTACATGTGGGGAGTCCATGACCAGCAAAGCATGGTCAAGAAACACACATGTGAAGTGAACATTCATGCACATCCATACATCCATGTGCCTTGGGAAGTATATGTTCCTATTGCATTGTTGATATTTTAATAAGCTCTTTTGATTTTCCCCAAATGAAATTTCCATGTAATCATAACTTTAAGTTAAGTGAGTTTTGTATACTCAGAACTACCCTCAGCCCTGAATGAAAAATGGCTAAATATAGTGAGGCAGTCATGTTGTCTGACTTTCTTTAATCATGTATTATATTCCTACTTGACTTGAAAATTAAATCATGCTTAAAACTCTGTTATTTCAAGGAAAAATTCCTTAATTTGACCTTCAAGATGTCCCACCGTCAAGCCCCAACCTACTTCTTGTCATATAAATCCTAGCTTTAACCAGGCTTGTTTACTCAGTTGTTTATCTGCTTAAATATTTCTTCTTTGAACCCATCTAATGACTAATCTGAAGACGCAGCTCAGGTCAGCTGTGGTGTTGTAAAGAAGGCAATGAAATGGAGACCCTTTTCTCCTGCTTCTGTCTCTTGCTCATGCATTTCCTGCAGGATTGTGAGAGTACTTTCCGTGCTGGCATCATAGGTCTCATCTATCTTATGCTTAGTTCTATCCTCCCCTGACGTTCCGTCCACTCTCTAATTTGCATTTCTATAGTGTGTATTATCTGTACCATTCCTTCCCACACATCTGCTTGTTCTACAACTGCAATGTCTGTTTCTGTGCTCCCGTTCCTAACCCAGGCAGGAGCTCCAATCATGCAGGGTCAGTGTGTCCTGCCTCTAGGCTCTTCCCCAGCACCTGGCTTAGTGCTGTACACAGAGACCCTTAACCACCATTTTTTGAATGAAGGAGATCATATATTTTATGATGAATTTCAGAAACTCTTGTATTATAGGTAGCAACACTTGGAGAGAAAGATGAGTATGCAGAATCAGAAGATGTAATTGATTCTCATAAACGTAGAGAAATCCTTTCACGAAGACCCTCTTATAGGTAAGTTTTTTAAGTTTATTATTGTAACAATACTTTTTCCAAAAAGGGAGAATAATTATGCATCACACTGATTCTACCCTTAGCTTTTCTGTTGTATATCTCATTCATGTAACTTAATTGTTTATATTGTTAAATTATATTTTAGAAAAATACTGAATGAACTTTCCTCTGATGTGCCTGGTGTTCCCAAGATTGAAGAAGAAAAATCAGAAGAAGAAGGAATGCCATCTAACATCGCTACCATGGCAGTACCAACTAGCATATATCAGACTAGCACGGGGCAATACAGTATGTATGCTGCAATTCCATACTATACAGAGCTCAAGCTTTAAGTCTCCACTAGTAACATTGGCACAACTTGGGGTTTGGCGTTTAACTGTTCCATTTGAAAATGCATCATCATCTCTAAACTGTGTATTATAGAATGAGAAATACATGTTAAAGAAGTGAGATTTGTACTGACGGCCATCATATACTCTTTTTTTTTTTTTAAATATGGAACACTTCACGAATTTGCTTGTCATCCTTGTGCAGGGGCCATGCTAATCTTCTCTGTATCGTTCCAATTTTAGTATATGTGCTGCCAAAGCGAGCACTATCATATACTTTTGAAAAGTAAAATTTTTTTACTGAATATAGAAGAAATTTTGGGGGTAAAAATAAAGGGTTTGTCTTATTTTTATATATGTTTATATTCATGTCTAGTAAAAATTAAAAACTGCTTTTTGTTATCTTTATGATGCATGCAAACAAAACAAGATATAATTGTATTTCATTCTTGTTGGCTTTTGTTACCAAAAATTAGATATTATACTTACTAATCTAAGAGAGGTATGTATGTTTCTATGTTTTAAATGTAATTGTTTTCACTACTCTCCACTATGTTAATTTGTGCTACAGCTTTTCCTAGAAGAGAATGGAAAACGTTATGATTTATTTTTAAAAACTATAGCAATTGGACAGATCATTTATTTGAAGTTTTAAGTATCAAAAACTGTAAATAAACAGATACATTCACATTTAGTCTTGTGCATTTTAATGGGCTGTTAATTCTGTGCTTTTTGTTCTAATTAAAGCACTAATTTTTTTCCCAAATCAAGAACATTTGATACATAAAAATTACTTTATTAAAATATGAGAACTAGGAAGAAAAGAAAAGGTGGGGAAGAAAAGCCACAGAAACAACAGAAAGAAAAGTTTAAAAAAAAGCTACTTAAGCACTGGAAAAAATGTGGTATTAAATGTGTTGGTTCACATATAGTGTTAAGATTTTAAGTACTTTTTCTGTTTTCCCTTTAAAAAGTAATAATATCTAGCAAAAAGTCCCAAGTCTTAATTTAAGATGTGGCTGTTAAAGAAGCTATAGTATAAGGGAAGATCTTTTTTTTTTTTTTTTTAGAGTCCTCTAGATCTGGATTTTAATATTGAACTAATTCTCCTTTGGTAATTCTGGTTCTTTGGGTAGGTCCTACTACAATATCTGGTAGAATTGGTATTTAACTTGTTCACAGCCCATCCAGGCTGCTGAGTGGACATGTCCAAAGTCAATGTTAGGAAAAGAAAACTCCCCACTGTCTGTAAGAGTTATACCTTGAGAGTTTTCACTGTCATTTCCCCCTCATATTTCTCTGATTTACATACCTTTGTGTATGGCCCCTGGGGCATATATGGAGGGAGTTTTAGAACCTTACATCAGCGTGCCAGCTGGCATGCCTCTGCAGTGCTGCACACTGGGCACAGAAGTGCAAGCCTCTCTTGTGCCCTTATCCCCTGAGGGGGGCCGGGTGGGCTTAGAGCTGCAGGAACCTCTTGGCTGATCAGTTCTGCCTTGAGTAGTGGGCTGTACTCATATTATCATTTTCCATTTCTGCCATGACAGGGAAAAGGTTGAAATTACTGATGAAATAATGTTAAGACATCTTGAAGTTTGGGAGATGATCTAAGATGCTGTCGTCTTAAACATCTCTCTGACGCATTCTGCTGCTGCTTAGGAATTGGTAGGAGAGTGATCCCTTTACAAGTGACTTGGAAGGAGATGCTTTGGGCTAATTCGCCTAGACTATGAGCCGGAAATATGCAATCATGGACACATAGTGGGTTGTGAAAATGTCGAAGCTAGAGACATGTGGAGAAGGTGCTACGGTCCTTCTATTCACTCACTGAATAGAAGGAGGTCACACTGCAGGTGTTTAGCCTTTGAAGTGAGAATACTGCTAAATTGTCCATCTCAGGGTTAGTGGGAGGACAAAAGGAGATAACAGGTAAACATAGAGGAAGAGGCTGCTTTTGTCACAGAAGAGAGAACTGTAAACTATCTTTGGCAATGTCTCATTCACAGTCATGAAACTTTTCTCTGCAGCCAGCGCCAAAGCCTTTATTTCTGGAGCTCTTAATCCTCGCTCACAGCAGGGGCTCGGCATTAAAGGTCACCATGGTGTGGTGATGGTAGGGATGGAGTCAAGGGTTCTGGTTAAGAACTAGAAAATTGAATGTTTAGGAGATAGACACTCTTCTGTCTGCCACATTAGAGGTCATGGGCTGTCTCTTAACACAGGTTTGTTAATTTGGACCCATACAGTATGATCCTGGTGGTTACTTTGGTGGAAAAGTGTGGTGGGTCTGCATGTGCTGTCCACAAGTAAAATTTGCATTATTCATGACAAGTGATACTGCCTTTGTTAAAAATACATTTCTTAGACATTTTAGTTACATTTGTCTATGTTGATCATTCTTAGGAAAGTGAATACTAACACTTAAGCTTTTAAGAAGACATTTAGTTGTTAATTGGAGGGTAAATGTATATTTACACATATGCAATAACCATTTTCACTAATCATATTTCTTACTAGGGATAACTTGACAGATATTAATGTTTTGATGTTCCTAACTATCTAGAAATAGAAACATTGTACATACCCTTTGGTTTTTAGCAAAGGATTTTAGTAGAATTTCTGGAGATTTTTCTATGTATTTATGTATACCTATTTTGAGATGTTTTTATAATCTTTTGTTGTAGAAATGGTTTTTTTAGCTTAATTCTTTTGTTGTAGAAATGGTTTTTTTAGCTTAATTCTTTCTTCAACTTTTATCTATGGATGACTTTCCCCCAAAGTTTGCTTTGTTTTTTTTTCAGAGATTATTATTTTAGATTATTTATTTTTAATGTAGTTAATGAGTTGGAGTTAAAAACAGAAAGAACTAAACTAAAGGACTTTGTGAGTCAAAGTTAAAGAAATAAAATAAAAATAAGTGCACTCAGGTTTTCTCATACAGTTACATTTTTAATTGTTGAATGTTAGAAATTTGATAGAAGTTGGCCTTATTATTTCAACTTATTTTTTAAGTCACAAAAACTAAGAAGTTAGAATAGGCTACCTGCTGTGAGTAGGAAAAACAACTTAAAATAAGCAGGGTTTCATTATTGTAACACCAAGAAGGTAAGCTACACTTGCAAAATCTTTAATGGCAGCACAGACCTTAGTGATAGGTGGGGTATATGCCGATGAAGTCATTCTGGTCAAAGAATATCTGTTCTGTCTCAAGAGAATTTACCTGAAAGATGGCAGTTCAGATAGTCTTAGAATTAGCAAAGAATGTTATTTGCTGCCTAAGATACTTATGCATTAAATGAGAGTAAATTCATAAACATGCTAAAAGTGACTAAAGACATTTAAATGTTTGTAGTTTTTTAATTCTCTAAAGATGCAGTTTTTTTTTTATCTCCCACTCTACCATACCCAACCTCTTCCCTTACCAGTGAAAGATTATCACCCACAATTTCAAATTACTCCTTTTTTCTAAATGTCCCTTGTCTCTTTGCTTGCTCCTGCTTTACTAAGAACCTTGTTAGAATGAGTCTTTATTAACATCCGTATTGGAATTCTTAAAAGCTGAAGGTAAGTGGGTCAATCTGAATTCACGATTACATGTGAGCTTTGTGGACTGCTTAAAGAATTCAGAATTCTCAGGAGACTCATGAATAAACACTGATTCCATTTCTTCATAAAAAGAGTTTGCACAGGAGAGGCTTATGTATTCTAAAGTAAATGCGGTTGCATTTATTGTTCTTAGTGGTGACATTGCTTCCGTTCTCCCATTGTAACTTCGGAGCAAACATAGAAGATGTATACTTCGTGTGTATCTGGCTTTCGAGCCTTGGTGTTGCTGCTCTTTCACAGCACGGGGCTCCTTTAATCTTTGTCCTGCTGTATGCGCCACTTGGCTTTTAGGACAAGTACTTTAGAGAAGCCGTTTTGTGGTCACTTTTTGAATTTAAATCTGAGAATTCACTGGAATAAGGTCTGGTCTTTTAAAGTTAATTCAGTGAAGTTCTATTTATGCATCTTTTTATTGCAATTTGGAATAAAAATAGTTTGTTATAACCAAATATTTGCATGTTTATGTATCTGAATTAGCTCATATATACAGGTTTAGGATGAAAAAGATGTTAGCATCAAGTGAAAAAACATCAGATGAAATCTTAATTTAAATAAATTTTGCTTCCCCTTTTGGTCATAAACTCTTTTTTCAATTTTCCATCCTTATTTGTTTTCTCTTCTTTATTGATTAAGACTTAAAATATTACTTTTTTAATTAAAAAAGTGTTTACCCAAATTCTTGAATTTTCATTCCATTAATAATGTTTGCCTTACTTCAGTAATATTACTAACTCTAAGAGAGAAGTGCTGAATGGTAGTGAGTAGTGAAAGTAACAATATTTTTTAAACACAATTTTTTATACCAGAAGTTTTTAACAAATTTATTGCCTAGACTAGTTGATAAAATATCGTCCTAGTTACCATGGTTTATGGTGAGTTGGGGATGGGGAAACCATGCTTGGGTTAACACTGATTTGAAACTAAATACCATGACTATATAAGGATGCTGTATCCTTTATATATAAACATGTTTGTGCAACCACTAAAATTAACTTAGTAGAAAAATACTTAGTAAATTACCAATCATACTCTATTTAGACAAATTCTTTGTTAATGTAAGGTCAGTGTATCCAGCATTCAACCTGTGGGTACAGAGTGACCTGCTTAATTACAGGGTATATAGCTCACCTAAGACTTAAGGGGAAAAAAAGTTAGGGAACTCCCACAGCAACTAGGACAAGTATACCTAACCTTTACTCCCCACTACTGTGAGCAGCAGGCTTGAGTCAATTAATAATGGACAGTGAAGCAGAATTTAACTGATTATATAATCTAGCTGTCCACTTTTCATTTTATTTTATGAAAACATGATGTTGATAAGGATTGCTTGAAAGAGGAAAATAAGTAGGCATATATTCTAAAATTTTTTAAAACTTTCATTTCAGCTTGAGTCTGAGCCTATTCATAGACCAGTGTGGACTCTAAATTGTGCACAACAGTGTGGCCTTAGGTATAAGCTTTTATGCCTTAGTTGTATGTGTTAGTTCAAGAAAACATTAATAAAGCCTAAGTCCCCAAAGGGAAATTAGTAGGAAATATAAAGCTATTTTACTTATATTGGTTACAAATGGGCCTGATAAGGGCCAATCGTTTTATTTAAAAATGATTAGCTAGACATGATATCTAGGATTTGTTTTGAAATACTCCAGACAAAAATTGAGGTTTGGGATGAGTGGGCAGAGAATAGATGGTGCAAAATTCTTTCTAATTTTATGTTTACTTGGAAAATTTCTGTAAGTTTAAAAAAATAGTGAAAACAAAGATGTGACTAAACTCAATTTAGTTAACTTCATTTCAGTTTTTCCTACTATTTCTCTTGATGTGTGTTTACTGAAAGCAGGTATTACACTATTGAATATTTTGTAACTTAAAATAAGTTTGTTCCTCAAATCTTTTGAATATACACATACATAAATCCTGTTTCCAATATCTTGATGCACTGGGAAATCTTGTTTATTTTCAAATGAGAGGTAACATTGTGTGTGTGTGTTTAGCTTTTCTTTCCCACATCTAATTATATAATAGAGACCAGAAAATAAAATGTTGAGAGGAACAGATTCTTGATTTATCAGCTTTTCAGTGTAAAAGCAAAGTTTTGATTGAAACTATGGGGGAAAAAAGAATGAAAACTAAAAAAGTAAGGATATTTGTTAGCTGCCTATTTCATGGTTATCCTTAGAAGCAACTATGACCTTAGATCTTTCACTAGTTTGAAAGCTTAATAATTGTATTGGCATTGAAAACTAAGTTCTGTAATTAGAATTTGAAACCATACTTCATTTAATTCTTCTAGATTCACAAGTGACTTAGGTTATTTATAATATAGTCTGCCTTGAGGAAATGATAGCCACTCATTCATAATACTTATTGAGTGCCTACTATCTGCTAGGCTTTGAGCTTCCTCCTCATTGTGGTTACACTGCCTATGCCTGTTCTTTTTTAAGCGCTGTTTCTTGACATCATGCTAATTATCCACTGAAAATACACAGTCAAATATCTGATAACATATGAAATTCATTCATATACAGCCATGAAGATACAAGCAATCTCTTCTTTTTCATACTTCTCTTTTAAAAAGGAAAGACATAGTTAGATCTCTCCCAAGCCCATTTATTGTAAGGAGTGAATCCTGAGACCCTTGAAATCTTTGGAGAGTCATGATAAAATCTAGTTCTTAAAATGTGTGCAGAATATAACCCTCTAGATGAGCCAGATAAGTGTTATTACATTAGAGTTTCTCGGCCTTAGCACTATTGACATTCGGTAACTGATTCTTCAGTTTCTGTCAATCATGTTCTAATAGGTGGCCTGTCAGTGAACTAAAATGTAGAGAATGTATCTATGTTGAAATCCTTTTTAAAATGTCAACTCATCTTTCTGTGTTTAAGCCCTAGAACCTTAGGTCGGGGAGCTGGAGATTGTTAATGTTACTCTTTCCAGTAGTTCTGACAGATTTATATAATCAGGTCATCAACTAAGTGGTGGTTGCTTAGATACCACTAAAAAGGGAATACCTTGGAAATACTCCATCTATTTTGGGTACTACTATAACATCCCTGTAAAGTAATTACATTGATTTATAGGTATTGTGTTATTCTGGTATCGTGTTTTTATCTTCATTGTAGAGTCTATTCAGCTAGTTTATATGTGATTTTTTTGTTAAAAAAGGAGAGCCCTTAAACACTTAATCTTTAATGTTTAAAATCTGGAGTTGTAATCTTTATTTTGAAGTACACAGAAGTCTCAGATATTTTTAACAGTACTTGTTTGTCCAGTAGAGTAAAATTTAAAAACAAACATTTGATCAAATTCTTTTGAAACTTCTGGTTAATATGTTAACTTTAAACATGACTAGCAAGTCTGTATTTAGAGGAAGTCTACCATATGTTTGTTGCCATTAGGTCTAGTTACTCAAGACATTTGGGAGAGGTAAATATTGTAGCACATTCTTCCAATGCAGTTACCTTTTAAGGTCCTTCCACTTAACATTTTATATTTTAGGATTCTCCTGACATAGTCAAAATGGTAAAAGGTGACAGTTTTGTAGACTTGAGCTTTAAAATAAAAATACATAACATATATTCCATTAAAAGTTTAAGCCTTTTGATGGTAAATTAGAAAATTAGAAAATAGATAAATTAGAAAAGTTGTTAGCTGAATGAAGGTGAAATACATGCAATGAATTTGCATAAATTCATTATAATTGTGATGCTTAATGGATTTTCACTGAGCATTTCTTAAATGTTAGAAGAATGCTATTTGTAACTAAAAATACCTGAAAAACAGAGACATTCAGAAAGCTGGACTTTCTCCCTGTCTGCATCTCCACTCTTCCTCTTAAATAATTTAGTTGGGTGGATGTCAGGGAGACGGAAAATCCCATGGACTCTATGTATTTCAAAGAATTCTGAATATAAGATATTTTCAAGTGTTTATGAGCTTTTGCAAAATGTTGTCCCATGAAGAAAGATGTCTTTATCAATTCAGCATAGAGAAATCAGGGTAACTTGAGAATGAGAAGCCTTGGTAATGCATAGAACCAGAGTATTTTCTCCCAACCTGGGATTATTAAAAATGAATCTTGAAATTCTCTAATATTTCTTTTCTTTTTCTATTAAGTTGCTATAGCCCAAGGTGGAACAATCCAGATTTCTAACCCAGGATCTGACGGTGTTCAGGGACTACAGGCATTAACAATGACAAATTCAGGAGCTCCTCCACCAGGTGCTACAATTGTACAGTATGCAGCACAATCAGCTGATGGCTCACAGCAGTTCTTTGTCCCAGGCAGCCAGGTTGTTGTTCAAGGTATATTTTATTAATCTCGTACCTTTAGAATACCTATAGACTACTATATCACCCCACTGAGTGGTGATTTTGTAGTTTTCTGAAATATATAGGTCATAAATTGGAGGGACACTAAAAGGCTTAAAGAAGAAATATTTCAGTGCATTAAATAACAACTTAAATTGTATGACTCACTTTTTAGCAGGCCTTACTGGCTGTAAAGAAAGGTTCTGTTCAGCATGGCATGAGGGAAAAAGGGAGTTGGAAACATGAGTGAATTTTTTAAATTAAATATCCTCATTTGGGCTTATGAATGTTGTACTACTTCCTTTTTATTACCTTGTGTATGAAAATTTAAGTATCTAGTCCATGATGCTCTGAATTCAGGTTTTTCCCCAGCTGTTACATTCAAGTCTAATTTCTAGACCTCTCATTTCCAAACATGCTGATTTTTGTTTCTTCTTTAAACGGTTCTTAGTATATTTGAATTCTGAGGTACCCATTCTACTACCACTTATGGAAGTTGACAGCAGTGAAATAAAAGTTGGGATGTTGCTCTAAGCTTTGAGGGTAACCTAAGTGTTCATTTAAATTGAATTATACATTATTTTAATTTCATTCAGTTGTGCTCATAATAACTATTATATATTTAATACAGCTTCCAAAAATCCTGTGTTTTAACTCTGTCCCTCTTGGTCATTTGCTGAGGACTTATGATATAGGATAATTTTAAGCAGAGCAATATCAGTTCTCTTAATTTGAAAGTCCTTCAAGTTTGGAGAAAAGAGATTATAATTGACAAATCTTGATACTTAGCTTTACTCTTAGGTATTTTGGGGGCTAATGGACCGTAATAAAAGCATATAAAAGAACTGAATGGCGGCATTATGGAGTAAAAAAAATTCATAGTACTTACCCAATACTTTAATGTTTTCTTTTAAATGTAAAATTAAAGCCATCTACTATATTTCCCTGATTATTATGAACCCCATATGTCTGATCAGTCAATAACAAAGAATGATCATTTTTTCTTGTTTTACTTCTATTATATTGACAAATGCACTATAAACTTGATACTTTAATAAGAGAGTTTTTAAATGTTGGGGTTTTTTTGCATTTTTTTATTAAGGTATCATTGATATACAGTCTTATGAAGGTTTCACATGAGCAACATTGTCATTACAGCATTCACCCATATTATCAAGGCCTCCCCAACCCCATTGCAGTCACTGTCCATCAGCGTAGTAAGATGCTGTAGAGTCACTATTTGTCTTCTCTGTGCTATACTGGCTTCTCCATGAGCCACCTACATTATGTGAGCTAATCATAATGCCCCTTAATCCCCTTCTCCCTCACTCCCCTCCTACCCTCCTCAACCCCTTCCCTTTGGTAACCGCTAGTTTCTTTTTGAAGTCTGTCAATCTGTTACTGTTTTGTTCCTTCAATTTTGCTTTGTTGCTATACTCCACAAATGAGTGAAATCATTTGGTACTTGTCTTTCTCTGCCTGGCTTATTTCACTGAGCATAACACCCTCTAGCTCCATCCATGTTGCAAATGGTAGGATTTGTTTTCTTCTTATGGCTAAATAGTATTCCGCTGTGTATATGTACCACTTCTTTATCCATTTGTCTGCTGATGGACACTTAGGTTGCCTCCATTTCTTGGCTATTGTAAATAGTGCTGCAATAAACATAGAGATGCATATGTCTTTGAACCTGGGATCTTGCATTCTTTGGGTAAATTCCTAGGAGTAGAATTCCTGGGTCAAATGGTGTATCTATTTTTAGTTTTTTGAGATACCTCCATATTGCTTTCCACAATGGTTGAATGAATTTACATTCCCACCAACAGTGTAGGAGGGTTCCCTTTTCTCTGCATCCTTGCCAGCATTTGTTATTGTTTGTTTTTTGGATGTTGGCCATCCTAACTGGTGTGAGGTAATATCTCATTGTGGTTTTATGAAACTTTTTATGTTTTGCTTAGATAATACTCCCTTATGTCTTGTGTTTTCAGGTTTATTTAAGAACTGTTTTTCTTCCATAAGTCACAAAGATATTTTTCTGTGTTACTTCTATAGCTTTATAATTTTACCTGTCACATTTAGGTCCTTAATCCCCCTTATGCTCACCTCTCAATATAGTACTAGGTGGGGATCCATTTTCACTTTTCTAAAATGGAGCCAGTTTGCCCCTACTACCCATTTCAGTTTGCCCCTACTAGCCAGTCTGCCCTTTCCCCATTGACTTAGGGGGCAATCTTAACTAAAGGAGGTTCTCATACATACTTGGGTCTGTCTCAAAACTTCCTATTCTGTACTATTGGTCTCTTTTCCTATATGCCAGTACCATATTGGTTTGTTATCTTAGAGAAGAAGTCCTTTTTTGTCTTAAAAACATTTTTTTTGATTTTGTGAACCACTATTCTTTCATATGTGTTTGGAAAAAGTTTGAGTTTCTAAATAATAATAATAGAATAATAAAACCAGTAATGAGATTATATTTATTTTATAAATTAGGGAGAAAAGATGCCTTTTTTTAAATTGAGATATAGTTGACATATAGCATTATATTAGTTTCAGTTGTATAACAGTGGTTTGACAGTGATATAAGTGACAATAAGTTATTACTACTGTGTTTTAGTTAATTGTTATTCATCACCACTTGAAGTTATAATTTTTTTCTTGTAATGAGAACTTATAAGATTTTCTCTCTCAAAACTTTCAAGTATACAACACAGTGTTGTTGACTGTAGTCACCATGCTATACATTACATTCCCAGGACTTAGTTATCTTATATCTGGAAGTTTATATCTTTTGGCCCCCTTCTTTCCATTTCTCCCACTCCCTCATTTCCCCCCAACCTCTCCATATCTCTGGCAACCACCAATTTGTTCTCTGTATCTATGAATTCAGTTTTTTGTTTTGTTTTTTAGATTCCACATGTAAGTGTGATCATATAGTATTTGTCTTTGTCTAACTCATGTCACTTAGCATAATGCCCTCAGGGTCCATCCATGTTGTCACAGATGGCAAGATTTCCTTCTTTTCAATGGCTGCAAAACACTCCAGTGTGTGTGTGTGTGTGTGTTGGGGGTGGGGCATATATATTTCTTTATCATTTTTCTTTATCTGTTCATTTGTTGACAGACACTTAGGTTGCTAAGTTATTCTTGATTGTTGTAAATAATGCAGCAGTGAATTGGGAATACATATATCTTTTCGTGTTAACATTTTCTGGATAAATACCCAGTAGAATTGCTGGATCATATAGTAGTTCTACTTTAAAATTTTTGAGAAATCCTTATACTGTTTTCCATAGTGGCTGTACCAGTTTACATTCCTACCAATAGTGCAAAAGTGTTAGAGAGAACTGAAGTCTTTTTAATGTTAAATTGACCTATTCCAAAGCATACAATGTCTCATTTATACAGATCTTATTTTAAACTTCTTTTAACAATTAAAAATTTATCTCCATGGATATCTTTCATATTCTTCTGTTAGTTCCTAAATACTTTATGATTTTTGTTGCTATTTATGAATGGTACCCTTCTATTGCATTTTCTAGTTCTTGTGTAGAGAAATATTGCTAATTTTTAAAAGTTTTTATCTATTAAACTTGCTCTAGTCTAATTCCAATAATATGTTGATTCTTTGTAAATCTATGATACTATGTAAATGTTTTTATCAAATAGGAGTAAGACATTTGCTTCTTCCTCTCCAATCTTTATTTTTCTTGATTTCTTTTTCTTTTTTCCTTTCCTGCCTTTTTCTTTTCCTTTTCTCTTCTTTCTGAAAATAATGGTGGCCAGGAGTCTAGTTCTGTGATAAACATAGCAAGGTCAGTGGGCATTCTTGTCTTACTTGTTCCCTTCTTACCTTCCATCCTGTCATCCCTTGCAAGGCCACAGCAGTCTTGAGAGAACAGTGTCAGTTCTCAGACCTTATCTTGACTGGTCTCCAGCAGTGTTAAACACATTGGCTTCTGCTCCCTTCACTTCCCTGATCCCTCATTCTTACTGTGTTTTCTTCTCTCTCCTGCCTCTTGCAGTCTCCTCTGTCTAACCATCCTCTGGCTGCTCTGAAGCTGGACTGCACAGCATCTTCCTTATCTTCCTAGTTATGCCATGGGCAGCAGACCCTTTCCTGGCCTGGTTTTGGGAACTTTTTCCTGAAAGTTTCACTAGATGCTCTTCATCCCTCTCAATGATTCTGAGAACTACAAATATTTCTTAAAAATGAAAGTCTCTGCCTCCAGCATTTCCCTTTCTGCCTTGTACTCTGCATTCTGTAGCTCTGAGAGGTATTTCTAAAATTCACATCTGATAATTTCAGCCTCATGCTCAAAGCTCTTCAGTGAATGTCTATTTCTTGTTAAACGAAGTCCACAGTCTTTAACATGGCCCGGCTCTCTGTTGGATCTAGGTCTTGCTTTCTTTACTAGCCTTCTCCCTTTTTTGGAATACAGGTCTGAGCTGAATTTCCTTCATTTCTTGTCCTATGTCATGCCCTCACAGCTGTTTGCCCTGACAGGGGCACTTTTGCCAATTGTCTGCATTATTCAGGTTTTATCTTGTATAACACTTCCTCCAGAAAGTCTTCCCTGATCCTCCAAATCTGGCTTACATAGTCCGTTCCCACTGTACCTTTTTAGGGCATGTAACACACTGTCATGATGCTCTGTTTCCTGCCTCAGTGGTAACTTCTGTTTGGACTGGGATCCTTAGTACCTAGTACAGTCCCTGGCATATGATAAGTGTTCAATAACCATATGCTGAATGAAGGCGAAATACTCCTCTGTGAAAATGTTCTTAGTTCTGTATGCTAAGTAATGAGTTTACCTGGTCCAGGTAATATGTTAGAACTTCTCTAATAGCAGTAGTCAACCAAGCAACCTACTTTTCTCCTCCTTGTTCTTCTCCACCCTTTTTTTACACTAATATTTCTTGAATACCTATGTGCCAATATAGAGAAATGTTGAGATTAAAGTTATTTTGAACTTTCTGATATAGCAAGTAAAACC